CCCCCCCCCCCCCCCCCCCCCCCCCAAACTCTCGCTGAAATGTGGCCTAATTATTCTCTTCCTTGATTTGTATATTCCAGTGACTCGATTGAAACGCATATCCAGACTAGGTATGTATTTGGCAAATCTTTACTTCTCATTCCCAATAATTTGCTAAAATTATAGTTCCTAATAGTACATTACCAGGTAGACTGTACTGTTGTTATTGCCTCTTTCTGACATTTATGTCAATCGCGTCTAGGTCGCTATCTGAAGATTCCGGAGATTGTTTCTACGCAGTGGAAGATACAGGTCACGTTAGACGATGTACAGGTCTTATTCGGTTCGTCGGTGGCAAAGTTGATGACTTTCAGCATGCTTGGAACTAGAGCGGATCTTCGAATGACCTACCTTACCAAGGAACTCGCAGTGGCGCTCACGGAGATTAGTATCTCTGATTTTAATAAAGAATCTCTATATCGACAGGTGCGTCTACTTATTTGCATGCTTTCTGAAGGAAGAGCCGGAATAGCTTGAGTGAATTATTCGGCCTCTAATACCTCTTCTTAATTGATATTCAGCTGTCTTAAATCTAGAGTTGGCCGCTAACCTCTATTTTTCACCGGAAAATCTCTCTCTTGCAATGTCATAGGAATTTTCCGAAAATAACAAACAATTTTTTTGAGTCAGATTTCGCAGATTCGATACTCGTCGGTTCACAAAAGTTGAAGTGTTTTGTTTAGTACTGATTAAGAAGAGTTCAAGGATTCGTGTTAGTTTTTTTGTTGGAAATCCTGAAATGCTCTTGTAAAGTAACTATGCTTTGAATGACATCTTCCACTAGCACGTCCAAGAAGTATTGAATAATTTTTGGTCATATCATCTGAAATGAGAGATGGGGGGGGGGGGGAAGGGGAGAGAGAGAGAGAGAGGAAACATCGCTGATTTGGAAAGGTGGTTTCTAATTGAAGCAGAGATCTTGAGGACACACGATGGCCCACTATGGTGAACTTGAGGTAAATGCTGGATTAAGCACTTGAAGTGCCTCTGTGGTCTTGGTAACAGTCCTGAGGCTTCAATAGGGTGGGGGGGGGGACTCTTCAAGCGTGTCAGTGATTTCGAGATACTTAGGTCCTAGAGAGAATTATTAATCCAGCAATTTTGGAAATACGTTGGAATTTACCCTTCTCAAGGTAACCTAACGATATTCACGGAACTTATTATGTGTGCGTCTTAATAAAACGCAACAAATGCCATACTGATGTTTTTCAAGTGGTTTTTGCTACGAAACTCAATCAAAATTTCCCCTTAACTGTGATAGTGATCGCTTCCGCTTTTCCAATAAGAGGGGATATTTTTTTACTCTCAGAGTTCACACTTCCTCTCCCCCCTCCCCCTCCCCTCTCCCTTTTAGATCCTCTGGATCGAGCCTGGTGCGAATGTGTTCTTGATGCAAGCCGTGTTGTACAATCGTAGGACCAAGGAACCGGAGCTTCAATACGATCCAGACAAAGTCGATTTGGCTGTCAGTTTGCAATTCGGGAAGGTCCATGTCATTTTGCTCTATTTGTTTTTGCGACAAGTTGTGGTGAGCATTTTTCTCTTCGATTTTTTTCGTTTTTTTCGATTTAGTTGTTGTCATTGTACACTATCGACGCATCTCTCTCTCTCTGCAGGACTTCATGGAATCCTTCCAGGAGGCAATAGAATATGCACTGACAAAGGCATCCGAGGTTACGGATGCTGCCAAAACTCAGGTAATGATGCTGGGGTTTATTAATGCCAATCTACTTTCCTTTTTGAATAACTCTGCTACCATTGGTAATTCATCAAAGTTATGTCCACTTGAGGGGAAATGGTTTGGTGCATGGCATATCAAGTAGAGAAGAGAAAATGAAGATGTTATAGCTAATATATTCATTTTAATTACTTTTCAAGCTTTTCTTAATTATTCCTGATCATTTATAAGATCACCGGAAGTGAGAATTTCCATCTCTACATTGAAATATGGGTGGGAGGGAGGGGGGTGGGGGGTGGGGTGGGGTGCTATTTGATTATGGCTGGGCTACTGATACGCATTTGGTTGTGTCAAAGTGGAACAAGTGCTTCCCTTCATTCCGGCTTTCGATAATTACTGACCATCTTTGCCTTCCTGTCTGTACATTTTCTATCACCGCTCTGCATCAGTGGAACTTTGTTTGCAAATTCGATGTTCTAATGACTGCCGCCACCATTTGCTCACAAACGCTATACGGAAGTCAACTTGATTTATCAACTAGTCGCTCAGGTTAAAAAATGAAGCGTTGTTATTAGGTACCACAAGATAACTGTTTTGCCTAGAATTAATGTCTATTCCCAATTCGCATCTCCTGAAAACTGTGGGGTAGCCGAGGGTAAGATCTCCTTAACTCGTTTTGCCGATGGAGAGTTCTATTCTACCGCGAGAGAGAGAGAGAGAGAGAGACTTCGTGATGCTCAATCTTACTCAGAGGCGTGACTGTTGGCGGTTGCTTTCCCATTTGAACTTAGGAGTGTTTGGTTATCATTGTAAAAACATTTCATTTTCTGCCGTTTAGATGGAACAAATCGCGAAGCAGCCGCACCCTCCACGTGTGGCTCTCTCAGTGAATTTCGAGGCGCCGGTTGTCTACTTGCCCCAGAACTCCACTTCTCGCCCAGCTCTCGTCTTTGATCTGGGTCGTATCTCTCTGGCCAACGTCTTCGATATCTTTCCGAAACCTGATGGAGTTCAAGACGAGTCGACTAATGTCCTAATGATGGATCGAATGAGTATTCAACTGAAGGACCTCAGAATGTCTGCGTAAGCCTCAATGACCGAATTTTCGTGCTATGCTTTACTAGCAATTCTGCCATTGGGGAAATTTTTCGGAGTAATTAAGACCTTGGAAATGAAAGTACCTAAATCACCGTTATTTATTTATTTATATCGAACGGGACGCGTTTTGATAGTTATCATTAGCCCTTTAGCTGACTTTGGGCTTCACAGAGAGGAGGAGGAACATCAAAGTGACAAAAAGTCGAGATGGGGGGGGGGACAGAAGAGTGATTTACAGATATAGAAGAGGCAGACAGACACCAAGGCAGAGAAAGGGTAAGATGAGTACTGTGAAAGGGTTCGAATATGACATACAGTGGTGTGATGGTAGTTTGAAATCAGAAGCCAACTGCCGATTAACAGACTCTATTGCCGTATGAGTATACGTTGCTCAGGGAGCACCACGTGGAGGTAAGTCTATCATACGCACCTAAAGCATCATTATAATGCTGAAGTCAGTCTTTCTTTTCTTTGGGAGTTTGAAGTTCGTTTGCGTAGGTGAGTGCATTCTTTTTTTAAAATTCTCTTGTAATTGGCTTAATTTCTCTCTTTTAATATGTATAATTTAGGGCAATTTTAAAGGATGGTGGAATTGAAGTTGAAAGAAATGTCATCGAACCAATTACTTTGACTTTGAAGTTGCAAAGAAAGGTCTTCCCTTCCCAAGGTGATGGCATCCCAACTTTCAATATATCTGGAACTCTTGAATCTGTTCGGGTATGTTTTAAGAGAGGATATCTAACTCCTGTGTTTTGCTGTTTAATGAGTGTTAATTCTTCATTGAAATGAGCTATTTTTTCATCAACTTACAAGTTCATTTTCATTTTTCTTTTCAGCTTTTAATGACCTACGGTGACTACAAGTTGCTGAACGATGTATTCATCGACAATTTTTACGAGGCTGAAATGGTTTTGGGACCTCTCGACACAGTAAATAAAGGGGCTGCCCCTGAAACGAAGAATGAATCATCAGTTCCACTTCACGTCACCGATAGCTGTTCTCTATTGCAAGGTCTCAATTCCACTGCGAACACTTTAGCTCAAGCTTTGGATAGGTTTATTTCAGTGAACTTCCTCCTAAAATGCCTGGAGATTGAACTCTTCCTTGGCACAAATGACCCGGTAAGCTGTCCCACTCTTGAAAGCAATCAGTCATCTCCGTTTTTTTTTTCTATTTCACGCTTTCTCTCTCCGTAGAAAAATTGGAATCAGGAGATTTTGCCGAATCGGCGTCTCGGTATTTTCACTTGTACTGAGTTATGCGTTGAGGGCGATGTTTTTGCCAACAACTCGTCGAATGCATCGGTGCGACTTAAAGACATCTCCTTGACTGATACCCGTCCGCATGGGGAAAATCATATCACTAAGTGAGTCTTGTGTCTAAAGAGGCGGCACACCGCCACTTGGAAGGAGAGCACGCACATTCCAATGACTTGTGAAAGTTTATTTATATCAAATGGCAGGCATTTTGATAGTTATCATAAGCCCTTTAGTTGACTTCAGGCTTCACAGAGGGGAAGGAACATCAAAGTGAAAAAAGTCGAGAGGGGGAGGGGGGAACAGAAGAGTATTCCAAAGATGTAAAAGAGACAGAAACAAAGGTGAAGTGAAAAAGGTGAGGCGAGTACTGTGAAAGTAGTCGAATATAACAACTAGGAGGGTTGTGGTAGTTTGAAGTCAGAAGTCAACTGCCGGTTAATAGACTTGTTGTTTGCCGTATGAGTATACGTTGCCCAGGTTGCACCACGTGAAGGTAAGTCTATCACACACCCCACTTTTGGAAGTTGTACTGGGTTCTCTCCGTGTAATTGATTGGCACTATTAATTGTAGTTCAAGGCTAAGAGTAGGGCTTCTATAGTCTTCTCCTTAGGAGAGATAGACAGAAAGAGAGATGGGGAGGGGGGTGGGAAGATAAGCATTTTTTAATTTTACCAAGATTTTAAGTGACCAATTCAAATGACAAAGTGGATTAGACTCACGTTATATTTCGTTTGGCACTCACGTTGCTGTTTTCTCCTCTAAGATGTTGTAAACAAAAGCTTGCTTTAAAATTGATAGCGTCTATTCCGCATCTTGATGGCTGCATTCAAACGGGAAAAAAAGCCATTTCTTGTCAACTCTTCTCTGGCCATTTGTTTGAGGGTGTGATTGAAAGGCTGATCCGTTGTGTCTTTCTCAATCTACCGAAAACTTGCTCTAAATGCCTTTTTTATGCGACACTTAATTGAATTTGGTGCCTCGTTATTTGTAAGTCAATAAGCAATTGTGGTTTAAGGTTGTTTTAGTGCTTTGAAAGATGCGCTTAACAAATAGTAGGAGATTGTGTATAGGGATTTAAAAAAACTGATATGCCAAATAAAAGGTATCGATTTACTACGTATCATGGCACAGAGAGAGAGATTTCTCTTATTAAAACTAACTGCAACATTTAATCAATTTCTTGCAACCGCTTCTCTGTTTAAGGCATCCAGTAGTCTGCAAAATTTGATCTACGCTATATGCACTTTAATTCGCGTTCTATTGAATAGGGTCACACGCTCTTTAATTAAGTTAAGTTTGTTTCGTTCTGCTTTTCCGGCTACTTTTTTCTCCTGCTGAACAACTTTTCTATTTCAAGTTTAAATATTATCAACCAACTGGAATCAGTTATTCATTCTGCCATTGGTATGATTAAAAGCACCTTATTGTCTTATTGTAGTATTCTTAGCCAAGCGTCTGGATCGGAAGGTCAAATGACAAATTTCGTTGAAATTTACTACCACGCAGATAAGGAGCAAAATCAAACTGGCAAGTCGCTATTTGTCATTTTCTTTTACTTATTATCATGACTACTGAATTGCGTTTGGTAGACGATTTTGTGCTGCAACGAATATTGTGCGCTCGTTAGTGCAAATAATATTTATTTATATGAAATGGCAGGCTTTATGATAGTCATCAATAGCCCTTTAGTTGACTTCAGGCTTCACAGAGGGAGGGTTGAAGAGAAGAGTGTTTTAAAGATGTAAAAGAGACAGATACAAAGGTAGATGAAAGGTGAGCTGAGTATTGTGGAAGTGGTCGAATATGACATACAATGGGGCCATGATAGCTTGAACTCAGAAGTCAACTGCCGGTTTATAGACTTTTCTCCGCATGAGTATACGTTGCCCAGGTTACACCACATGGAGGTAGGTCGATCACACACTCCAGAGTAAATAATATAAGTGGTGATGTGGGCAGAATCACTTTCATCAAGCTTCCAGTCCGTTAGCCAATGCACAAGCGTCTGAGCACTTAGTGAATGCGTTATTCTCAAAGTGGAATGTTTGAGGTCTGCGATGAAGAGTTCTTGAATAAGTTGCTACTGCGCCGTCATATAAATAGTTTTTTTTATGATATGCTAAATATGCGCGCCTGTAAGCACTTTCAAATACCTACTTCTACATCTAAGAAGGAAAGCGAAAATCAGTCGTCGAAACACCCCCTTGAAAATAATGATTCAAGTGGGATTAAGAAATGAGTTTCGTTGAATTGATGGTTCAGCTCTGCTTGGCTCAATTATTATTTACGAGGTTGAAATGATTACTCACTAACACAATTAGGGTGTCGAAGGGAGCACTCAAATTAAAGGGACTATGTTCAACCCCCACTCTCTTCTCCAATTCAACCACAACAGTTGAGTCGGTATGAGTAAATGTCCAATGAAGGATTGCAAAGCTTTATAATTAAGATAGAAAGTAACCGTCCAATAATCTAAGTTCTACTTCCCACGAATTGGGGAAACTTCTTTTCTGCTCAATATAGTTTCAGGCGCTTGGAATATGAACGCTAGAGACGTACGCCTGTAAATGTACAAGTGTAGACATCCTGCCAATGAAAATTACATGCTTCAGTTAATCAAAACGTGGAGTTTGCTGTGTTGCTTTAAATTCATTTGCGCACTCTCAATGTTTTGTCATTTTAGTGGACGTGAACGTGAGCAGTATCATGGTCTGCGCGTCGTTAGACTACTTCATGATTTTGGCCAAGTTCTTCACCGAAGGCGCTTCATTAGGCGCCAAATCTGAAGTCCCTGTCAACTCCCACCCTGCCAAACCTAGGGCATCTATTTCGACATATCGACAAAGTACGTGCATTTGCACAATTTTAATTCAATTTTACGGTACACTTGATTATGCCCCTTTATTATTCCTCTAAATGGAAATTAAGCTTTTCGGTATATATATATATATTTATTTATTCATTTATTTCGAATGACAGGCATTTTGATAGTTATCATTAGCCCTTAGCTGACTTCGAACTTCACTGAGGGGAAAAACATCAAAGTTCAAGAGGGTGGACTGAAGATTGATTTGCAGATGTTAATGAGACAGACACAATGATAGAGAGTAGGGTAAGGTGAATACTGTAGAAGTGGTCAACTATGACATACAGTGAGGTCATGGTAGTTTGAAGTCAGAAGTCAACTGCCCATTGATAGACTTTTTTGCCGTATGAGTATACGTTGCCCAGGGTGCACCACGTGGATTTAAGTCTATCGCACACCCCCATCCGATGCAATCGCTAATTTTTCTATTTTAGGTGGCGTTTCCCCGCCCACACCTCAACCTCCAAAGAAAAATGTTGGAAGTCTTCGTATTAAGAGCAACATCGCAGATCCTGAAATCATTCTTCCTGAAGATATGTCCAACCCTAATTGCAATGCCATTTTTGTTACGGTATGCGCAGATCTAAAAATAAATTTATCTTGTTTTCAATTTCAAGTTGTAGCGATCTTGTTTTGCCTCCTTCTAGACAAGTTTGAGTTTCGACTGCACCATTCTTCCAGAAGAGACGGTAATGAACGCTGGTATAACTAATTTCCGAATCCTTGCTTGTCCCTTCCAACGTGCCGATAGAAGCGAACACACTATGGAAGTACGTCACAATTGCAAGATACTGTGCTTGGTCCTATTGTTTGGATCTTTATGTGTTTTTCTTGAAGGTTCTAATACCGACCTCGGTATACTTCTATGGTCGTCAACCGATTGGGGGTTTTATCCACGGATCCATTACTATGGAGTCCTTAGTAGTCAACGTGACTGCTCCAATTATACGCTCAATTTCGAAGATCATGAATCACCTGTCGGAAAGCACAACAGATGTCACTCTATTACCAGAGGCTTCAGTCTCCTCTTCTCGTAAAAGTACTCTTGAAGAGGAGGTTGAGGACTTTTGGGCAGTTCAACCGGTCAGATCGACGGATATCCCCATAACTATGGGCCAAACTGATTATGGCATGTCCCTCCTTTCCTTGTCCCACTTTAAACTGACTTGAATATAATATTGGCTTTGCTTTGCCTCTTAATAGATGCACAATGCGAGGAGACACAGGCCATTGATGTTGCAAATGCTCTCCAGAAAGTTGAGGAGGAACGAGAGGAAACGGTGAGTGGTGCTTATTTGGTGACTTCTAAACCCCCCGTGTGACCCCCTTCTGCTTTACCCTTCGATTAATTCCAGTATTGTACTTTGTCACACTCACTGCCTGACTTACGTTTTTTTATATGCGCGGACCTTTTCTAGCTTTTGTCCACCAATTGTTTGCATCTTTTGTGTGCTTAGATCGTTGTTCGGATTGCCTACGTGTGCTTGTCCATGGAGTCCCAAATTGGGAACAAGCAGATCCCCATGCTCCTTGTGGAGGCTCATGTTGATGGCGAATTGAAGTCACCATCGACAGCGGTAAGTTCTATTTTTTTTCCATTCTATACCATGTACATTGATAGAGCAGATCATGATTCAGGATGTACTAGTTAAGACATTGCCTTTGTTGATTATTACTGTTCAATTGTTCAACCAGCCAATGGCTAAATTGTTTGCTTCATTTTGTAGCTCGGACTTAGTCTCAACTTCGAGTTGGCGGTTTCTTACTATAATGATCATCTTAATGAGTGGGAGCAGCTGCTAGAGACTCTACCAGCAGAAAACAATCGGCTGTGGTCTCTTCAACTTGCGTACAATTCCGCTGATTCCACGACTCAGCGCACCAAACCAGAGCGGGAGAACGCATCAGACCTTCAGAATACGGGAAACTCTCTATCCCTCGTATCAGGAGACAGCCTCGAAATCACCGTCTCAAAGACTGCCCTCGATGTTCTCACTAAACTTGGAAAGTCCTTTGAAGAGGCCTATATGGCTCCCAAAACCGTGATACCTCATCGGGAATCCGTTTGCGGCATTAAGGCCCCCTATGTGATACGAAACCAAACAGGCCTTCCTTTAATGATTGTTGTAGATGGTGAACGACTGCAGAATTCCGAAGAACCGCCGATAAGGCATATATCAACTACACTCCCCACACGACAAAAACTTATTGGTCTAGTAGGCCATGTTATCAAAACTAATGAGAATCTCGGTTTATATGACGTCCTCATGAACAAGACGGTAGGGTGGAATCCTTATGTCTTCTAAAGCGAATCGAACAAATTTTTAGCATTTTCCCTTTCTTCCTCTTTAGCCCACTGTCCAGAATCTTCGACATGCACCCAAAACCCCACCTCGGCCCATCCATCTCGGCCTTGTCCCCAAATCGGCAACGTTTTTGAACGATTGTAATAAGTTCGTGGCTCGAACTGCATCGATCAGGATCCATCGAACGGCCAACTACATCGTTTCAGCGCCATCTTTCAACGATGACGAGGATGCTCAGCCCATCGTGGCTTCGATAACTGCCTTTCTGGGACAGAAAACGCTTTGCTTACAGTCAACTGTCCAGGTAACTTTGTTTGACCATTTAAACACGAACGTAAATCGGGCTTCAGAACTGATTGTACAGTCTCATTTAGCGTCCAATTGCTATTTGCTTTTGAGTGGCGTTTTAGGAGTGTTTTAACCACTCTCTTAATTATATGTGTCATCTGACTTGGCTCATCTTGTAATTCTCCTCATTGACGCCTCATCAAATGAACCTCTGTGTTGAGCAATCCGACACAACAAAGCGCAATCTCTCAGTCTTGGTCAAAATAGAAGACCTTATATAGTCCGTTTGTGGAATGAGTACTGTTCTCGGTATCTCGTCGATCTCCTCGCTTGGAATTTTATTTGTGTCTTACTGCGCCGAAATTCGATCCTTTTATCATGGGCTCTGTTTTCTCCTACTCTGCCGGCAATTGTCTCCTACACTTCCTAATTCTAATTTCTGAAAATGGCATTCCTCACCATTATTTCTTATTTTGGATTAGTGTGCCTCTGCTCAATTAATGGTCTTCTTATTTGGAAATCCTCTCGCATATTCTATTAGACTTTCGTAATATTGGAATACCTTTAATCCTGAAACAGTTCTACTCACTTTTGAAGGCCACGCCATCAACATTAGCACTTGTTTTGCACTTCTGCAAAGCATTCCATATTGATGGTCTATTTTTGTTTTTTTTTTGTAGGTTGTAAATGAAACTCCAGATGCAATAAAAATCTATTCCCTCCTCTCTCACAGCAATGCCAAAGGCACCTTCCTTGGCACCATTGAAGGAGGCGATTCATTTCCCCTTCCTGTCGAAGTTGTTACAAGTGGAGCCATAACTGGCGTTAGAATCTGTCCAGATATTGAGGGGTATGTTTCAAACTCTCTTTCATCTTGTCTTTATTTGCGATTCTCATTGACACGAGGTGGTGGAGGAGGAGGTGATGGTAGAGAGGGAGGGCTGAAATCCTTTGTTTTTTTTGTTTTAGTTCCCTCCCGTCTTCTGATGTAATTTACTGGCCACCCAAGGCTTGTCCTCAGACGGCGAAACGGAAGGATCGAGGTGATGCCTGCATCTATTTGGTGCCGCGGTCAAATGCCACTAGTAGAAATGAGAGCGAATGGCCAGTGCAGGAGGTTGTGTGCTCAGTCCCGCACAATGCCCGAGAAAATCAATGCAGCGTTTTCATGGACTATGACTACACTGTCACCTTTGTGCCCAGATTTAGTGCGAACCAAGGAGAACCCGTCGACTTCTTGCAACCTCCCAACTCCTGCGCCCTTAAGCCCGTAGCCTACAACATGGTCATCCGTGCTCCGGCTTCCCTTCACAACCACCTCCCTGTTCCTCTTGCTTTCAATCTCGCTGTAAGTACTTAGTCCTCTTTGAACCATTTTTTTGCCATCGGTTTTTTGTTCGTGAATTCTGCTCAGGGTTTCGTAGTATTTCTACTAGTCTTCTTCTCCATCTCCTAGAACATAAAACAATATCATGGATTTGTAGCATGAATTTCATGCAAGCCATGCACCCGGAGGTGTTGAGGATGTTCGAAGCTGTGGTAGCCAATGTGATTAGAATTTTGTCCGTCTTTCGGCCATCGCCAATTATCCTGACCTCACTACTGCACCAACGCGCTCATCGAGAAACTTCTAGTGTTGGTTTCCCAACAATGAACTTAAGTTTTCCTTCCGAATCATCTTATATAAGTAGTAATGTCTGTTAAGGTTATGGAGATGGGAATTGTGGATTTATTTAAATTTGACTATTTGAGACCGATTAACTTTTTCCTTCGTTTATTTTTACAGAATTTCGTGGGAAAGGTGCAACCAGGTCATGTTGCAGTTCTCCCTTCTGTGAAGTCCAACGGATTCAAATTGGGTATCAGCGTACGCTTAAATTGATTAACCATGAACCGATTTTATAAGGTACTTTTTATCTTTTGCTATGTTCTCTGTGTCTCTCTTATTTCCTCTGCAGTTCACGTACAATAGCAAGGACTACATGGCTCGATTAGTTGTCAATTCTGATACGGAGGAGTTGTCCGTTATTGCTTGTGAAACACACGATGGCTACGATGTCGCCTTCTTGGTGAGCAATATTAACCTCCACCCACCCCCCACCCCCCTCCTTCCCCTCTCCCCACCTCCTCCTCCTCATTTGTAATTGAAATGTTGCTTGAAGCGACTCAAACTTGGCTCGGCCTTTTCAGAACCTGGGACTGCGTTGCTCCCGCCGACCCGGCCACATCGACTTAACCATCTACTGCCCCTACTGGCTTGTGAACAAAACGGGTCTCCATCTCACCTACAAGGTATCATTGTCACATCCCCATTTCGCCTCTCACACACATCCACACTGCTTCTTTTCCCTTTCATTGTCTTGCTGCATCTTCCCCTTATTAGCACTTATCCACGCTGAACGTAAGTTTTAAAGCACTTTTAATCATTGAAGGGCTTTTTTTTCATCATAAATTAGCTTAAGCACAAGCTGCGTCAATCATAATTTTGACTGCATTTCACATCAAAAGTCGTCTATTCCCCCTTTTTTGTGGGTGACCTTCTGCTCATTACGAATGAGTCATGTTGTTTTGTCACCATTATATTTCCCCCTCTTATTCCACGCCAATAGCTTATCGCTCTAGGTATTAGGCTCTTCCTGTTCTGGAATTCCTGCCCCTCTCTCTTGTTTGCCCTATTAGTTCCATCTAGTTTCATTTCTGTGAGTTATCTCACCAGGGCGTCTATGTCGACGCATTTCCCAAAAATCACGTACACTTGTGTTCGAATATGACTCGCGCCCGCTTCACAGTTGCGCACACACCCGGAGCCACTTTATTATTATTACCACTGAATTGTCTTCTTAAAGCTCTTTACTCAACGGCCGCGATCGAGATTAGGCGGTCGCTCTGGGAGAGTAAGTCTCAGCGTTGATTTTGACATCTGCGCGAAATGAATACCTAACTCTCTCCCCTCCCCTTCCCCTCCCCCTCTCTCCCTTTTGTTGCACAATCCTCCCTTCCCATGTGATTTGATTTTGAGTTGCACTTGCCACGTTCATTAAAGCAGTTATGATTCCCCTTTTTTTGCACTTCTTGGCGTGTTAGATTTTGTTGCGTAAAAGAGGCATTGGAAGCTAACTGTGATCATTAATATGCCATTAACATTTGAAATTAAATTCCCTTTTCTTTTTTTTCTGGTAAAAATAGGATCAGAAGGAGGTGGAAATCTCCCATCCGGCCGATTTTCCTGGCGTTCTTCTCTTCTCAGTCACCTCTAAGTCTGCGACGCTTCATCAAAAGGTATTTCCGTAACTACCTACTTATACTACTATAGGTTAATAATAGTAGTAGTAATAGCACTAGTTACTGGATGCGCGCCTAATTCCATTTCCGGATGTAACATCAGCTGTTAATAACTCCTACTCGCTTGCTACTCGTTAACGCGTTGACAACCGTTTAGTTCCTGAAACTAATTCTCACCTCGTTAATCCGACTATTTATTTTCAATGAAACAAAAACACTCTACATCAAACTTTTAGCCAAATGAAATGCAAATTAACACGAAAGCATTGAATTGGGGTGTGCTAAAGCATGGCATAATTGAGGTGTGTATAAAAGAAAACCTTGGATGCATTTAATCAACTGCTGATCTGCTGAACATAGTCGAGGACTTTTGAATACCGATGGAAGAGAGCAGACAAAATTTAAACTGAATTACGACATTCTCGCGGTATTAATCGGAGCGTATCTCTTTATGCATGCCTACTTGAATGTGGGGGGGGGGAATGTACTAGCAAAGAAGATTCTAGTTTCCCACGTGCCAATTCAGGCGATCAAGAACGTGTAACTACAATGTCTGGGGGTGATTTTCCCTCCAAAGAGATTTTTTGAGTTCTCAAGATTTCAAAGTTGCTCTAGACTACCTCGTACTTGGCTCCTAGCGATCTTGATGATTTGGTCATTATTTTGAAGTATCATGTTGCTCTTGTGGGTAGAATCATGTTTGAAGGGAAAAATCAAATGTTTTTTTTCTGGTTAGAAAAGAGTTAATCTTGGTTGTGTGTGTGTCTTTAGTCACCCAGCCAACATCAGTTGCTGACTTTTGATAGTATCGATCAGGAGGATGACGATACTAAACCAGTCGGATCGAGCAAGTTCTCGCAACAGCACTCTCGGTCCCACAGACCGTTCCACGGTGTTCATCGTGGAACTCGATTGGCTAATAAAGTCAAGGTTGTGATCACTTACCTTCCATTCTCATCGCGAGCGCTTGATTTTAACTTCCTCTTGCATGTCTGATTATTAATTAACCCCCCTTGTGCATGATTCATATCATTCTAAATTTTTTTGCTGCGCGTTTCCAGTGTGCCGCGTTGTGTCTTTTGTTGTGCCTACCTCTCACTTAACCACACGGAGTTCTGAAGACTAACACCTGGTCTAACATATGCCGACAGATTAATTTTTTTGAAGGGCTGCATTTTACGCTGACCCTTCATTCTACCCCAGCAGCCTTGGCTGAAATTCGCTCATCTCTCTGTGTAAATAGGGGTTTTCTGATCTCGCGGATTGTCATTTCTTTTCAAGAGTGATTATCGAGCTCGTTTTTTTTCTGATTTGTCATCTTCTCTAGTCTGCATAGAATGTGTTAAGTAATTACTCTCCATTTTACTCGATCGTTCTTTAGCAAACTGCTGAGTTTGACGATTTAATGCCTGCCAGGCGTTAGAAGTCAACGTCTGGCGGCGACAAGAATAGGTTAAATGTCAGACATGGGTTGGGCCATTTAGAGGAGAAGCTTTATGGAGCTCTCGCCTTCCTGAGAAACTGGAATTGTACCGCTCACGTTGGCAACCTGGGCACTTGCCTATGGGATGCACAGCGTGGCCAGAGGGAAAGCTGCTTGAGGTCAGTCTGTAGGTTGTTGTTTAATCCACCGTAGAGTTTTTCTTACATTACACACAACTCTTTTAAAAAGGACTCCCTCCTTTCAGGTGCAAAACTTATAAAAAAATAGTGATTAATCGTAACTCCAAGTAGCCTAGAGAATCTTTTTTCATGATCAATTTTAGTGGCCCTTTGCGTTTATTTGTAGCATCATAAGCTTCTTCGACGCCTGAGGCGCAATGGATCACAATCTCTTAGATCTTGGCTACTTTTGAAATTCAAGAAAATCTATTCCAGACTTCTCTTCCATGAACTCCATCTTCACCGCCGGCGAAAATACTTCAAGAGCCTTCATCCAGCTAAGGTTATCTTTAATAGCTCTAGTAGAGAGAGAGAGAGAGTGAGAGGTAGAGGTAGAATTGGTTAGCGTGTTTTCCCAATCGCTCTTTCCTTCACGGAATTTGCTCTCTCCTCCTTCGGAGATGCAATCCATGGAGAGCTTCCATTTCAGTCTGCTTCAAATCACTGCCATAATCCTAAACCGACGTTTGCGTTTCCTCTCACCTCCTCTAGGCCAACTATTCCCTTCCTCTGTTTTTTTGTTTTAATTCTTGTCTTTCTGATTGGCAGATCTTTATGAAGACGGAGGACTCGCTTTGGTCATCAAAGTTCTCCCTTGACACCGTTGGAAATTGGGGTCGTGTGCAATGCGAGGGAACTCGTGGAAGGTCTTATGAGGTTAGTTTTATAGCTTCTCTATTGTCAATCAGATTTGTTTTTTGAAAAGACAAAGATAAGATTGGATCCTCTAATTGAAACAGCGCGTGAGTGATATTGCACCAATTAAGTTAATACGCAACAACTTTTCCTTGAATTTGGAAGCATTGTTCATTTGTGCGTCCTCACTTTCAAAGGTGCGGATGTGTCATGAGTCTTTCCTGGGCCATGCTTAGGAAATATATTGATTGATTATTACTTATGACGTATCAAATAGTGTGCGTATCCAAGTTATCAAAAGGTAGAAAAATTGGTCGAATTAGAGTCAGATTTTGAGTTACTAGTTGAAAGGCAAATATTTCGTTTCAAATTTCAAACATACTTTTCAAATCGTGCAAATTTAACTACTCCTTACCATCTGGACCTGAGATTAAATTGGATCAATGAAATTTTTAAGGTAAGTGATTTGCTGAGCTCTGTCTTTATCATGACGTCTTGCTAAAGCTTCAACCTCCACACATCACCATTTACTCCTCATCCTCCATTAAATTGTCTTGAAAGAGCTTCCACTTCTTTGTTTTCTACTGTCATTTAAACTTGGAAGTTATATTAATTCGATGGATTTTTCTTGGTTAACTTAGATCAGTGTCAAGATAGATCTATCAACTTCTGGTCTCACGAAGATCATCACGTTCATGCCTTACTTCATGATTGTGAATAAAACTTCGGTAAGATTTATATATTCTGCCATATATCCTTCCTCCCCCCCCCTCCACCCCTCCCAAATTTCATATAAATACCGCTTACTTTTCCCATTTTAGATGACCTTAGAGTGTGCTCAAGTTCGTGAAGCGTCAAGGAGTCTTTTGGACACGTGGTTATCTGTTGAGGCTGGTGATGTGAAGCCCTTTTGGCCAGCAGCTGGCGACACTAAAAGAATGCTCATGGCTTGTCGAATTAATCAAGCATTCACTACGAATTGCTTCCCTCTCTACGAATCAAACACTGTTCTTCTAAAGCTCCCCAAACCTGTGGGTTTCGGACCGCTAATTGACGCGTGGAAATGCTGATAACTTGTTTTCTAAATACGGTCTTCTTTAATTATAGTATATTGGCCTCTACACAGATGTTCAAACCACGGACGAAGCGACTGTGATTAATCTACGACTTTACAAAGAAGGAATGGCCCTTGTGCATATAATTAATGACCTTGGCTGCAATCGTACAATCTCCTTCTTTCAGAAGTAAGCTCCACATACACATCTTCTTTCCCCCCAATTATATTCACCCCTTTATAGGGACACAAATGTAACGCATACACTGAGGAGCGGAGAGCACGTGTACTACACTTGGGACGATGCGACAAAACCTCGTCAATTCTTCCTCTTTGCAGAAAATCAACAAGGCAAGCCCAGACAAGTTGACATTATGACTGATAGCAACGTAACATTCACCCTGGGAAACGCTACCGTTCATGCGGTTTCCTTCTTCTCGAAACTTCAACGAACCCTACTTTTGACGACCGATCCAGTTGTTGCTTCATTATCAGCCAAGGTGCGTTTTTATGCATGCTGGCATCGTTGTGGTTAATAGAATACTCAGATGACAGGCGTTTTGATATAGTTATCATTAGCCCTTTAGTTGACTTCAGGCTTCACAGAGGGGAGGAGGAACATCAAAGTGAAAATAAGTCGAGAGGGGGACAGAAGAGATGTAAAGGAGACAGACATAAAGGTAGAAAAAAAGGTGAGGTGAGTGCTGTGGAAGTAGTCGAATATGACATACTGACGGGTCATGATAGTTTGGAGTGAGAAGTCAACTGCTGGTTAATAGACTTTTTTGCCGTTTGATTATACGTTGCCCATTGTCAGTATAAATAGACTTTCATCTCGGTCGGTTGACATGCATTCCCGTCAGGTCAGATGTCATGGCACCTACTGAGACAAGGATGCTAACCCTTTCTTTGACGGTTTACGGAATATGGTGTGTGTGTGTGCAACTCTGGTTATAGTAAAACGAAACGATTCAGATGTGTTTCCACAGTACTGTATAATGGAGCTAGCAGAAAGCATTTATGAGACACAGGTTATTGACTTTGATCTCAAGGATCTACATATATCTAATTTCTGTTTGGTTTTCTTCAATTATCCAGTCTGGAGAAATGGAGTCGGTAACTGATCGTATCTCGGTTGTTCTCCAATCAATTGGGATTTCTCTGGTGTTGAATCAACTCCGCAAGGAAATCTGCTATATATCTATCCGCAGGTTCGCATTTCTCTCCTCCTCCCATCTTTAGCGATTAGATGAATTAATGCAAAAAATTATTTATTTTTTTGCTTTTACATCTTGAACTAGCAAATGTGTTGCGTAACTTTTCAGCTCTGATGTAATTTGGAACAAAGTGATGCGAGGTAACCGCTTGAAGCCCTTGAAACCGGACCTTAGTGAGGCCTTGGAGAATATTTACAGCGTCTTTCTGTTGAAAATGGCTCAAGGTGAAGATTTTCCAAAACGCTTGACTCTTCCTGACTCCGTTCGACCTGTCACCACTGTGGATATAGCCCAGATGGTCATGCTTGAACCTGACAACTGCTCCCTCCAACGCACCTTCGAGCCTGGAATTCAGTTGCAATATCGAGCTTCTGCCAACCAAATGCAGATACATGCCCAGATTTTCCGCGTTCAGGTGGATTCCCAGCGTTTAGACGCTCCTTTCCCCGTGGTCTTTGCACCCTACCCTCAACCCAATTCCGTCATTCTCGATTCTGGTAATGCTCCGCCTTTGCTCATCCATCATCTTCAATTAACCCCAGTTCTATTGGCTGTATTAATTGTCCTTTTTCCAGGTCCGAAACCGCTTGTTGAGATCCTAACGGTTATTTGCAAAACCACTGATGAGGAAGTCTATCGATTTAAGTAATGCCTTGTTCTACTTTTTCATGCTTATTCCCACTCTTTTATTCCAATTTCTCTTTGCTTTCAGACGAGTGGAGTGTTTGATCCAAGAAATGCAGCTGCAGTTAGATCAGGGCTTCCTTATTGACATGTACGACTTTTTTGTCGGTAGTGTCGTGGTTCCAGATGAGGTGGGTCAATATTTCCTTTACTCCCCTTCTCCACTTTTTGTTTTAACATTCAATCATTGTGTTTTTTTTCCAATTCTTTTCAGCTTGAAGGTTTCATGGCAGATCAAAAATTAACCGCAGGTCCCCTGGTTGATGCTCCTGTTGTAAAGGATGTTCTTCAACCAGGCAAGGAGTCTCTTTTTGATTATATTCATATATCTCCAATCAAGGTTAGTTAGTTTAGTCGAATTTTCTGCAGCACTCACTGATTTCTCAAGGTTATAGTGGTTTTTTTGCTTTATTCCTCAGATGCATGTCAGTTACTCGATGGTTGGAAGCTCGTATGATAACCTCTCGAGTCCCCTTCAAAATGACGTTCTCAAGCTCTTCCTCCAATCCTTGGGAGTTGCGTTAACGGATGTGCAGGACGTTGTTTTCAAGTTAGTTCCACTTTCTTATGATCTGGTGTCGCTTGCGGTGTCCGTTCTAGAACCGGGCATGGCATAGACGCTCATGTTGGCCTTTGATCAAAGTCCTGGCTAACTACTTCCATTAGGGAGGATGTTTCTAATGAATTTGAAAACACACCCTCTCGAGTCTTTATTTGGGTGATTCATTAATGCCAGGTGTACCTTATTTGCGTTTTGGTTAAAGAGCCCATCTGCCAAGCCAAGTGACACAGGTGCACACCTCTAGTGCCGCCACCTAAATGTATATCTTCTAGCCTGTCACGTTTGATGAAATCCTATTTTTTTTCTTTTTTCGCCATTCCTTTGGCGGGTTGCTGAATTAATTTTATCTAACCCCTGCATATAGGCGTGTGTCGAATTAATAGAAATTTCCACACACATTTGCCAATTCTTTTCTTCCGTCTCTAGGCTGGGATACTTTGAGCGACAAGGTCGCATTATGTCTTTCTCGAAGATTCTGTCAGAAATGAGTCGTCATTACATCAGCCAGGCCATCAAGCAAACCTATGTGCTCATTTTCGGGTTGGACGTGATTGGTAATCCCTTCGGTGTCATTCGTGGAATGGCTCAAGGCGTTGAAGATCTCTTCTACGAACCTGCTAAGGTAGGCTCCATGGTTGGGATCGGAGAATCACTCGGGAGAAATGGTGGCAAGAAAATAGTGTTTAATTTTCCATCTTTTTCCTTATTAGGGAGCCGTGATTGGATCAGAAGAGTTTGCCGAAGGTGTAAAGTTTGGTGTCAGGAGTCTTTTCGGCCACACTGTTGGTGAGTGCGTCTCATATTTTTTTTTAATTGATTCGCTTCGAATATATGGCTGGTAATTTAAAATTGAAATCAAATTATTGAGTCCTAGTTTACACCGTTTAATGAGTCCTTGATATGAACCTCAGGAGATTAATTGCATTAAATGTCACACCACACAGAGATTGCGGTCTAGAAGAGGCATGCGAAGGCAATTCTTCTTATTATTATTCCGTATCGTCTCGCATCAACAACTTCAACTCTATTTAGGTGGTGCCGCTGGTGCAATGTCGCGTATCACGGGAACACTGGGCAAGGGAGTGGCCGCTCTCACAATGGACGACGATTTTAAACGTCGACGTCGTGAGGAGATGACGAGAACTCCTGAAAACTTTGGCGCTGGAGTGGCTCGTGGTGGCAAGGGTCTGGTCATGGTAAGTGGGGTGGCGGGGAGGGGTGGGGAGGGGGGTTAATTTAAAATCTGCCCTATTTCCATATGAGGAGAGATTCTGAAATATTCCCTGTTATCGGAGATTGTAGGTTAAAGCTTTCGTGTTTTTCCTTGTCGTAGTCTACCATGTTTTCAAGCAAAGAAAAGAATGCAAATGTCTGACTTAAGTGTTCAGGTAGTTTTTTTCTCTACGCTCCTATTTTCCTGTGAGTTTAACACGGAAATCTGATTAAGACAGATTTCAGGACTTAAAAGTCTTCCGACTTCTAGCCTTACAAAATGCATAGGCATGCGAGACAGGCGATCTTGCATGGGTGATTCCTTGTTTATTTGTTTTTAGAATCGATTGTGGTCCGTTCATTTTTGTGAATACCCTTAAAATTTCCATTCGCAATTTTGTTTAATGTGGAACTTAAGTCAATATTTTTCGTCATTCTCGACGGTTTTATTGTGAGTGGTCATAGAAATGTCTCCTATTGGTCGAATATGCCTCTTCGCGTGAAGTCGTCCTAATTGCACTTCTTCTAAAAGCGCTGTGTTGCGTAATGCCAATGCTGATAATATGGCAGGAATATGAAAGTCGACTGGCATTCTTCCGGCTTAGTTTGGGCCAAATCTCCTCCACTTGCCGGTATTTGACCTTGAGGTGTTGGTTTTTTTGAGTTCTATTATTCATCTCAATACTCCTTGCTTGTTTTTTATAAAGTTCTTTGGAGTTTGAGATTTTGGGTCTTTTTTGCCTACATGTCCTGTTGTGGCTTAGTTATTTGTACCTTTATTACGGTAGCGATGAAATCGATTGGCTAATATCACCCCGCAAACTTCCTTGAGTCTCAACTATAAATGCTTTCACAGGCAAAAGCTTACTTGGCGAGGCTCGTTTCTACTTTCAAACCCCGTGCTACCCACAATGCTCCCCCCACCCTCCCCCTCCCCTCCTCCCAATTTGGCCAATGACATGTGCTAAAGCTTCATTTTTCTGTCATAATGCACTGTTGCCTTTGAATTGGGCAAACTTTTAGATGCGATGAGATAACAAAATTTCATTACATTCTTACTTTATATTAAGGCAGGTAATTTGACACTTCTCTACGACGCTCCGTATGTAGCAGCGCAGTTGAAGAGTTGATCTTGAAACTCCTCGTTGACCTACTGGTTGTAATGAAGGCTAATGAAATATGATAATTGAATAGGAAAGGTTGCTTTAGGCGATGCACTTTTAGCGGGCGTTTCTATTCCAGGATAGATTGTGAGACTGCCAGAAAGTATCCAAGTATTCGGTTATAAAGTGCGAAGTTGCACGTATAAACTTATTTTCGCTTTTACTCGAATTCTCTTCCTCCCCCCACCCAGGGCGTATTCGGCGGTGTGACGGGCATTTTTTCGCAGCCCATTTCTGGTGCAAAGAAAGAAGGTGTGGAGGGTTTCTTCAAGGGTCTTGGAAAAGGACTCATTGGTACTGTGACTCGACCTGTCTCCGGAGTGGTTGACTTCGCTAGCACTTCTTTCGAAGGCATCAGAAGGTAAGCACTCGTGTCTCAAAATTCCCCCCCTCCCCCCACCCCCTTCTAATCACCGTCTGTCAATACCTCCTTCATTTCTCCTCCATAGGGCCGCATCAACATCTAAAGAGGTTAATCCTGTTCGACCTCCACGTTTTATTCACTTGGATGGTGTTATTCGGCCTTACGATAGATATGAAGCTGAAGGCAATGTCATCCTCAATGTAAGTCGTCTCTTACCTCTTGAAGCACAATCCCTTTGTTGTTTTCATACATTCTACTTAAAAATATTTCAGCGACTTAATCATCGGGCTCCTACTGAGGAGTATGCGTTCCATATACCTTTAAAGAAGGTCAAAGGCACTTGCTTACTGACCAATGAGTAGGTTGTTCTGTGTGCCCTGTTTTCGAGCATTTAAATGAATTAGAATAACGTGCTTTTTGATAACCAGGCGAATTATCTTGGTTACCATCAACGACATTCTGGGAACCTGCGCAATCGACTGGGAGGTCCCGCTCTCACAAATACATGGTGTTCCCCTTAAAAATGACAACGGTTTGGAATTGTCTCTGGAAAAGCCTTCCAAATCAAATTTATTCCGCAGTCCCACCAATGTCAAGCAAATTGATTGCACTCCCGATAACGCTCTGGTATGTTTTCCATCATTACGATTACATTGTGTAAAGGGTATGGGTTGTGATTACCTCCTCACCCTCTATTATTTTAGCGGATGCTCTCGAAAATTCGTCATTTGATCGAAGAAGGCTCGCGGGTAGCACGTAGACCCGAAGCCCCTCTTCCAAAAGTCTCAAATCTTGAAGTTGACTGATTGCAATTATTTTATTTCCCATGTCCTTTCTTATATTGGTTTTCACTCATCCTCGAACCATGCTATTTCATATTTCGAATAAAATTAATACTCACAAAGTTATAATATCTTCCTTATCGTATGTTATTGGATCGTTTAGTTTGGACGAGGTTCGAAGGCTAAAGTTGTAATTTCAAGTACCCAGTGGTGTAATTAACCTAAAAGCACATTAGAAATTGGAGGAGGGTCATTTGCTTGTTTGGATTAAAGTTAAGCCCTGTCCCAAAATAAGAAAGCACAATTGTGCATGCGTAGGTGTTTATAATTAACTACGATATTGAAAGGAGATGAGACGCTTGCATGCGCTTATATGAGCCATTTCAAAAAGAACCCGAGTGTATGTGGGTGCAGCGGTATTTTTAAATGAAACGATCCAGTTTTGGAAAACATGGAGAGTCGGTAACTCCTCTAGATGCGACAGATAATAATTTGGGTCATAAGGACAAGGCAAAAATAGCCTTTTCCATTAAAAATGTGACTAAAGAAAAATTTTCACAATGGATTGGGAGTCGATATTCAGGACGAAGAGTATATGAGATAATATTGACCTTGTTTCTACCATTTCCTATATTGGTTTGTCCTAAATCTAGTGAATCCGAGGAAATGTGCTTTGTGCTTATCCTAGTTTATTCCAACACTTCATCTTCAGTTACTATAATTAAACCAATTCTGCATATTTTATCATTAGAGCTAACTTATTATAGTTACCACTATAACTGAATGGTAGTTGTTATTGAATTAATGAATCAGTACAACGTGTTGAAGACACCGTAACTTCAATCGAAATATTCGCTTTATTAAAAAAACGTTAAACTGAAAATAATTGCTGCATAATTTTGTTAACTGTTTCATCGTGTTCATATTCGGTATAAACAAATAGTCGAATAAGTGCTAGTATAAAATAAGGCTGATAATGATTTGAGTGACTGAGGTTATTTGAACCCAAAAAATTGTTGGGGAAGAAATTGAGTTATGTGGAGACTAAGACGACAACTGATTAGGACATTGATGCGTCTCGTTCATATAGGACAAAGAATAAAAATATGAAAGCAAAGATGATTAATTGTAAGACAAATTAAGAGGTTATTAATTTTAGGTTCCGTGCTAGACATAGTTAAAGAAGAACTTGAGATATCTTAAGCTGCCGATTTCTTTTAAAGGGAGTAGGTTGAGAGATACCTAAATGGCCAATTATCAAATTAATTTTTTTCATTTTATCTAAGATCAATCATAATATCTGTGATAAAACTGTAAATTACAACAATTAAGAATATGTCTGAATATAAAACAACAAATTTTGTTATAAGAATATCAGAAACGAATTATGAACACTTTGTAATATAAAAATTGCTCAATCTAAAAGGAAAAAGAAGTATTTTGATATCTACTTTAGTTTTGTTAATCAACTTTTGATTCGTAGTCAGTTATAATTTAGTTTATAGTTTGATCAATTTAGATAGTTGCCTGACTTTATAGACCAATAATTTATCAAGGCTATTTCATTTCATTTTAGCCCGACTGCGCGCAAGTTTATATTCCATTCTCTTTCGATCTTATTTACACATTTTTTACATAAAAAATGTAACTTTAACCATTTTAGCGTGTATTGATGCAGTTTTAATCACTTTCTAGTATTGGTTTACTTCATTATAATTTTTAATTTTGCATGTACACGTGTAATCAATCAAACTTCTTAAACTCGCTTCTGGTCTAGTAAGGGTATTTGGCAAGGAAAACGAATATGGTTTATTAAACGTGGCTGCGCTAGTACTTTACAGATAACAGTACTTATAATTCATCTCTACATAAACCATACGTTTACCTTGTCGGGTCATTTAAGCACACTGCCATTACTATGTTAAATATTTTCATTTTCATTAGTTATGGGCGTGGTTCAGCTTTTTTCATAACTGAAGAATTTCAAGTTCATCTTCTCGTACTACAGGAAGTCTTTGGAATTTGATAACTTCGATTCTACATTTCCAATATCTCTCTTCGAGAGACGCGACAAACCTTACCGTGTAATGTCAGTCGGTGAAGATTCGTACCAAAAGCGTTTAGAAAGTAAATACCAAGATTCATTTCGTCAAATTCCAGCCGAATCTGCCAAATTTACTTCGCCTCCATCTCAGTCTTTAACAGCCACGCAGTCACAGTGCGTTCAATCTCCAGAGCGGCAAGGAATACCAATTAATTTCCAGAGTCATAACAGCATTCATCACCCTCGTTATACTTGTCATCCCAATTCCGGAGGCATTTTTTCTGTTAGTGAGAACGACTCGGCTGTTCAACTCTCTGCAGACCATTGCAACCCTAATCCCCTTAATGATCTTGATTTCCAACTCATGAATATCGATCAGAATATGTCACCTTCTTCTGGTATCACATCAGTGAGTTTCTTGCCTTTTCTACTCTCTTTGTTTCAAATGTTTTATTCTGATCTTTCGTTTTCTCTGCTATAGCCAATGGATCTGGGTTTTACAAACATTGGCGATGAACAGAGTATTGACAATATTGACCTCAATAATATTACCCCCTCTATTAAACTCGCCTCATCTGTGAGTTCAGTTCCTTTAACCATATTGTCTTTTTCTTGCCAATTTAGTGTTTTATTCTTTTATTACTCCGGTAATCCTAAGTCCTATCTTGTGTGCCCATTATTATAGCATTTTCTAAATTTATACTTCTCGTGATGGGTTTCTTACGTATTAGTTGTTTAGTATGTAAATTGTTTCTACGATTCACGTTTTCTTCTCTCACGACCTCTTGAAGCTTCTCGAAATTGTTTCGTCTTGACGAACTCAATGCACATATGAATTTAAATAGCTTTATATATATTTTACAGGGTTTATTTTATCCCTTATTTAGCACCGTGATTTTAGTTTGATGCATGTACTCATTCTCTTGCTTCATGAACTGTTGACAATTCAAACGGTAGTAATGCTGGATGCTAATCGAACTAGGGGATACAGTAGTTTGGTGTTTTATTACTCCTCTGTCTTATTACCATCTTCGCTTCAGAACATAATCCAGGAAGAAAATGATTATTGGGATGAATCAGAAATTACCAGAAAAAAATGCAATCAGCATCTGTCTGTTCGAGTAAAGTTTGGTGCACTTGTTTTGAATACCATAAATGATTTCTCAGGTTTAAATAATGTCAGTTGGGAGCCTTCAAAAGACTCTAGAACCACAGGTTCTTTAAACTAAATCTGAATGTCTCTTCCTTTTTAATTTAGCTCACCCTCCTGGGTCCTAGTGATTATTCATCAGGCAGCGGTGGGGGAAACAACAATTCTCGTCAACAGCAAGCAACTAGCGGCAGTAGTGGAAGAGGAGGAGGAGGTGGATATAATGAGAACGAGATGCCATCATCCTCTTGTCCCGCGGAGAACAGTGGTGCATCGTACCCCACCGCTTCGTCTGGGAGAGTACCTTTTGAGAGTCCCACTAGCGCCCTCAGCATCCCCAGACCGGCCAACCCAGGTGGAGGCAGCGGTGGTGGAAATGCCTCTGGAGGAAGTGGAGCAAGCAGTGTCACTGGCACCTGGGGTGGTGGTGGGGGGAGCTCTCTGGCCAGTCTCTCCGGCGCTCCCAACATCTCCGTCATGCAGGGCAGCAATCCCGCCGCTTCTGCTGTGGCAGCGATCGCTGGTGCCGACAACCAACGTGTTGCTATGATGCGAGCTCGTTCCAAGAAGGATAGCCACAATAGAAGTAAGTTTATCTACGCATTCACTACTTATAAATGCCTTGAAAGTGGAGACTGAGTAGCTGATAAGGCTTCTCTCAAATTCACGCCACCATTGATCCGTATCGCTAGGATCCAGCGTATATAAAGTATCAGATTGAGGCTTCTCCTAGTGCCATGGTAACTGACAAATTCGTCATTTTCCTCTCAGACCAGGGTGTGGTGTAACGCCCATTATTATTTTTTTTACAAAGACTTAACTCACAATAAAGAATTGTCCTCCGCTATTTGAATTTCATGTTTTCGATCCAAAGCCTTTCCTCAGTGAATGCTGCATTTCAGCACCTCTGTTTATTCACTTTTTTCTGTCCGATTCAATTCGGGTTCGCCATTTAATGCTACTTCGTTTGGGTTTACATTTTCAAGAGACAATTTGGGGCAGCTTTTTTACCTCTTCTTATTTGATTTGTACCTTTGATGGGCAAACCGTTTGCTGTGCGTTGGCGTCTCCTCGGTGTTAAGTTGCCATAGAGCTTAGTTGATGATAGCTCATTTTTATTCTAGACCTAATTCGAAATCTCTTCAATTAATCACCGAGGCGAGCAGATATTCAAATTTGGTCTTCGCTTCTCATTCTTTTTTTGGCACGAAATGTGATTTCGGCATCCACCTGTCAGAAAACCACCAAATTCGTGATTTATTCACCTCCGTATGGGCTTCATTTCTCACAGTGTTTTAATGAAGCGGCGTGTTAACTCTTTCTGAGGTAATTGGGATTGGCTTTAAAAATGGCCAGGGATGACACTTTGATGGATGATGACATCTCAGCTGCGCTTCTCTCTATTGTCCTTGAAAGCTACGTTGACTAGTCAGTTGCTATCTCATCGAATTGTGCAATGTATCCCTCAAGCCACTTGAAGTTAACATCGCTTTCCATTGGAATTAGTGTTACTGGTGCATATCTTGACTACGACGAAGGTGTCTTGGGAAGCTAGCATTCTATCAACCCTCTTGAGGGATTGTAATTATTAAGTGCGGTGGGCTGTCTACTTTAATAGACAGTGGATCTCATCTCTGTCCATCTCTCTTTATCTCTTCATACTCTGTTTGAGCTGAGAAATAGCTGCAATGTTGTCATTATTCTATCTTGTCTTCCTGACTTCCTCTAACTTGGAAGGTGTGCAACGCTTTATCGCTACTCGATCGGTGCAATATTCTCCCCATCTTGAATGCGCACCTAAATGCACTAGTTTGTGTGTATGTGCTGCACCACAACTGACCGCTTACGACCGCAACACACAACATTAATATTAACCTAAATAACAACAGGCGAGGTGTTTATTTTCGTTTTGCGCGCCTTGCCATTGTTGTGGAGCTTAGAGGATTTAATTTTTGTGCTTTTCTGTGTTGTTTAGAGGTAATCGATGAAGCTCTCGCCTCTTTCCTCTTTCTTTCTTTTAAAGTGGTTGAATGGGTGATGATCTCTCCCCCTAGGCTTTTTAACATCACTACATTGGGGGGGGGGCTGTTTATCAAGTGAATTGAATGATCTTCCAACTGGCTTCCAATTTATTGTGTTGCAGCAGCAGCAACATGGCTTTACCCTCATGACATTTGGTACCAATTTTGAGTTTCTCCTACTTGTATTCACTGACTCCTTTTCATTGTAAACGATAAAGGGGAGGTGTTGAGGCCTGGGTTGTGGGGGAGGGGGAAGTTGCCCTTCTCGACAGGATTGATGCGTTCGCTGGCCAATTGAGGTGGTGCTGGGCTGATGGTTACAGTCATTGTCCCACATCTTTTCAGTTTTTCATGCTTTCAGCTCTTGAATTTAATGAAGAATTGCTTTACATATTGCTTTTTTTGACTAAACAGGTACATGGAATTGCTGTCTTTTGTAGCTGTTTTGTTGCTCGCTTCATTTAAACGGTGGCCTTGAAAATTTTGGAAGCTGTCTGTTATGTTGAGTGTGTGAATGAGACTTCATTTTGCCACAGTGATACCCTTGACAGGTTTCACATTTTACTTGCACCTTTTTTCATGTGGTGTTTATTACCCTCCGAAAGTGTTAGGTCTCTCCTGCTGCTAGAACGAACTAAACTTCTCAATTAAAGGCCTCTACCGCAAAACTCCACACAGGTGTGCTTTGCATTATAAGGAAATAATTCGCTTTCGAAATATTTATTTATATCAAATGGCAGGCGTTTTGATATAGTTATCATTAGCCCTTTAGTTGACTTCAGGCTTCATAAAGGGGAGGAACAACAAAGTGAATATAAAATCGAGAGGGGGG